GATACAAGTTTGGTTGTCACTTACCTGTGAAACGTGTCGCGCAGTCCCACGAAGGAGGAAGAAGGCGGCCATAGCCGCGGAGCATCATCACGGAGTAACGAAGGAGAGAGAGGACGGAGAAGGAGGGACCGAGGAGAGAGAAAGAGGAAGTAGGGAAGGAGGACGAAGGAGACATCGAGGTGGAAGACAGACATAGCTGAGGGTGAAAGAAAAAAAAAAGAAAAAAAAAAGAGAAAGAAAGGAAGAAGAAGGTGAAGGAAGGGGGAGAAGAAGACCTGGGTGGCGAAGAGGAAGGTGCCGACAGCCATAGCCAAGGTGGAGCGTTGATCGAGGAGTTGACCGGCGCCGTTGACCAAGACTTTGACCAAGCTGGAGTTGGTAATATCTCGCCAAGCCCTAGCCTACCCCCTCACCCTGTGGATGTGCACTCACCCTCCGGTACTTGCTTAGTCTGAGTTTGTCTGTCTCTTCTTTCTGCATTGAGTCTCTTCTGTCCTAAGTGGTAGTACTCTGTGGATGAAGGATAGGGCATGGATGATGAAACCCTTACCTGACCTTGTAGAGCTAATACCATGTCTAATCTCACTGTCCCGGGGGGCCTAACCCTCCTAAGGACCGGTGCTGACCGGCGGGACGCGGATTGGCCGTGGCACGGTGGGCTTGAACGGCGAGTTGGTGCTGACACACCAGGCAGTCTTAAGTATTGAGGGCCTTATTGACCCAAACCCCTACCGGATCTACTAAGGCTAAAGGCCGTGTCTGACGACTCGACTGTCCCGGGGGACACGAACCCTCCCAAGGACCGGTACAGACCGTCGGGCTCCTCGGTGTGGCACGGTAGGCCCGAAAGGCTGAGTTGTGGGCTGATGCAACAGGCAGAACCAAGCTGATCACGTTGTCCTGACTGCGACATTAAATAATTATTGCGGAGTTACGGGGGATCTCCTTAAATGCCTCCTGATCAGCCACTGGTTCAGTAGTGGCATCCATAGTGTAGGTCTAGGCTAGCGACCATAGTTGACAGGGTTCTAAACGAGCCCTGTGGTTCTTAGAGAGTCAGTTAGTCACTGGTTTGGGTAGGTCTACGTGGTGAGGAGTGGGACATTGTCGTGCACCTAAACACCATGGACGACTACCCCATGTACAGTTTGCTTGTGGGGTTCTCCCTCTGGGGGACCCTTTGGCGTTTCATTTTCCCATTGGGATTCTGGAACACATTTTCGTGTAGGGTAGAGACCAAGGGTGGTACAACCACCCACCCCGACATACCTGAAGAAGAGGCCAAGGCCGCCGCGATCCTGAAGGGGAGGAGAGAGAAGAAGAAGGCCAAGAAGAAGGCCTTGTTGGAGGCGCAGGCGGCGAAGTTGAAGAAGATTGGGGAGGAGATGACCAAAGAGAAGGAGAGGTTAAAGAAAGAAGAAGAAGCGAAGTTAAAGGAAGTTGAAGAGGAAGAAGAAGAAGTAGAAGAGGAGCCAGTGGAGAGAGGAAGAAGAGGGAACAAAGGAGAGTCAAGTGAGACGAAGGAAGATCTAATGGAGAAGAAGATCTCGGAGTGGGTCGCAAGACTAACCTTGGGAGAAGATGAGGAGGCGTTAATGTATGTGCCCAGGGAGGAGTAGGAGGCGGCCGTGCGAGAGTGGGAAGCTAAAGGAGACCCACTCAGGCGGCAAGTGCTAGAAGATGAGAAAAGGATGGAGTGGAAGTTCCGCCTCACTAGGGAGAGGAAGAGAAGAATGGAGGCAGCAACAGAGGCGGCGAAAGAGTTGGAAGAGATTGGGAAGCAGAGGGCTCAGATGGCGGTCCAAGTAAATCTATTGGGGAAGGTAGAGATCCTGGCCAAGAACGTGGAACGTCTAGCAAAGGTCCAGGAGGAGCAACTTTTATTTCGTAGAGGCTAGGACATTGCCGTGCGTTCGGTACGGTTGGGACTTCGGAACTTTGCTCGGGAATTGGCAATGCAGGTGAGCTCGCATGTGACAGCCCGCCTCGAGGGCACTGAACGATACTGTGTTGGCGCCATTGAGGGCGCCAAGCTTACTGCCCCAAAGGAAGAAGAAGCACGCCCCCGTAGGGAACCGGTCAAGGTTAAGTTTCCTGATTCCTACAGCGGGAAGAAGGAAGAAAACTTTGACAATTGGGAGGCCAACGTTAAAACGTACGTGCACCTGCAGAAGGTGTCCCCTGATTAGCAGGTCCTAATCGCCATTCATGTGTTAAAGGAAGAAGCCGCCAGTTTTGCACGCTCCTTAGTCCGCGCTGCTAATTGCAGCGACGATGTGGTTGCCTACTCTGCTTTCACCCCCCTCGCTGACTTTCTTAAGTTGTTGCACGAACGATTTGCAGATGTCTCGCGCAGCGTTAGAGCCTCTGACCGATTGCAAACTATCCACTCTCGTCAGTGGAGGAGTGTCAAGGCCCTCAAGGGAGTAATGGAGGAGTTAGTGGCTACCCTTGACCATGGAGTCACAAAGACCCAACTGGTCAACCTCTTCTACCGGGCTATGCCCGAGTCGTTGCGTGCGCACTTCTTTGAGAAGAGCCTGCAACCCACCATGACCTACGACGCATTGAGCAGGGAAGTGGTGGCATTTGAAACAAAGTCTGTGTCAGTTTCGACTTTCTGGCACAAGGATTTGGACAAGGGTAAAAGGTGGAAGGGTCGCATTATCTCAGGGCAGGTGAAGACAAAGGATAGCTTGATCCTTACCTTAGATGAGGGTAATGTCGACGAGATTCCCTACGATCAGATAGAGTGGGGACTCGAGGGAGATGATAATAGTAGTCGTCAGGGGAGGACCTACGCTGTTGTCGCGGCCGGAGGGAGGCCGCAAGGAGGAGGATGGGGCCAGGGCCAAGGGGGCCGGACCTCAGGGAACCGTTCCCGGGGCGATCAGGGGGCTGGCGACAGAGGAGGAAACCGCCAAGCGGAAGGAAGGGGTCAAGGTCCCCCGCAAAACCGGTCTGGGAATAGGTACCCTTATAGGAGAAGTGGTTGGCACCCAGGGCTGCCACAAGGCAGGCCTTGAAAAGATCTGGGCCTGGACCAGCGCTTATAGCAACAGCGTGTGAACCAAGGGTAGTGCATCTACTGCGGTGACCCTAGCCACATCATTAAATATTTTCCGAAGTATAAAGAGGCTCGTTGGGCTGCACAGGAAGCAAAAGGCAGCCCCCGGTAGGGGTAGCAACTGCCTCTACCATAGGGCCATGTGGAGATGAGTCAGCAAGCCGGCACGAATCTCCCAAACCACATGAGCCCATGGCAGAAGTTGCAAGCCGAAGCCTGGATAGCAGCCCAGAGACTGCATGTGTTAGAGTCTCTCTAGGCACCTCCCTCACAGGCGTGACAGAGGAATTGAAGGAGAGAATGCCCGCCTGGGCCAAGATAAGGAAAGAGAATAGGGGGCAACTCATATTAGTAGATAAAGAGATTTTTAGCAGCCGTGCTGGCGCCTTAGTGGATAGTGGAGCCACTCGCAGTTATATTAGTAGGAAGGCGCTGCAGAAGCTGAAGTTGCAGTTGAAAGTCCAACGACTAGCAGACCCCATAGTAAGTATCCTCGTGGACAATCGCACTATGCGAGTAGAAGAGTACGTAGAGGGAGGCCAGGCATATTTCCGCCTAGAACAGGATGGGAAGTTGGAGAAAGTTCTCCATTCCCTGACTCTCTTCGTAGAGGATAGCCTCCCGTTTGACATAGTCTCAGATATGGACTGGGGAGAGGCAGCAGGGGCCAGACTCCATTTGAGGGAGCACGAGCGTAGGCTCCCTAGTACATCAGGCGGCGTTAAAACTGTCCGTCTATAGCGCTCATGCGTTCGCAAGGCTAGTGAAAAAGGAGCAGCTAGAGGAACAGGTTTTTGTAGCCTATGTTAGGCCAGTCACTGAGCCTAAGGAAGAGAAACCTATAGACCCTGCTATTGCCAAACTGCTGGAAGAGTTCACAAACTTAGCGAAGCCGCCGACAGGAGTAGTGTCGCGGCGTATCCAGCACCGCATTGAGATTGAGCCTGGCAGTAGGACCCCCAAGGGAGAAGTGTATAGGATGTCCCCGCGGGAGTTAGAGGAGTTGCGCAAGCAACTAGACGAGCTCCTAGAGAAGGGTTGGATTAGGCCCAGTTCGTCTCCATTTGGAGCACCTGTTCTGTTTGTCCCCAAGAAGGAGGAAGATCTTAGGATGTGTATAGACTATAGGGGTCTGAATGCTATCACAGTAAAGAATGTTGAACCACTGCCTAGGATAGATGATCTTCTGGATCGAGTGCAGGGGTGCAGATATTTTACGAAGATAGATCTAAAGTCCGGATATCATCAGATAGAGGTTCATCCTGATGATCAGTACAAGACAACTTTTCGGACCAGATACGGGCACTACGAGTTCATCGTGATGCCCTTTGGACTAACCAACGCACCAGCGACTTTCCAGCGATGTATGAATGATTTGTTTAGGTCGTGGTTAGATAGGTTTGTTGTAGTTTATTTGGATGATATCCTAGTGTTTAACAAGACCCTTCAAGAGCATCAGGGTTATCTCAGGTAGGTCTTGGAGAAACTGAGAGAAGCTAACTTCAAGATCAACGCAAAGAAGTGCGCATGGGCGAAGACCCAAGTGTTGTATTTGGGCCACGTCTTAGACGGAGACGGCATCAAGCCAGAGGATAGTAAGACTGCAAAGATCTGGGATTGGCCTACACCGTGTACGTTGACAGAGTTGCGGTCGTTCTTAGGCCTAGCAAATTATTATAGGAAGTTCGTAAGGAACTTCTCCACTATCGCTGCGCCCCTCCGCATACTGCTCAGGAAAGAGACCATCTGGAAGTGGGACAAGGACTGCACATCTGCTATGAAGAAGTTCAAGCAGGCATTGATAGAGTATCCAGTCCTTAAGGTGGTCGATCCGTCCTTACCCTTTGTCGTCACTACAGACGCTAGTCAGTACGGCATTGGTGCTCTTTTGCAGCAAGACGATGGCAATGGTTATAGGCCCGTAGAGTTCATGTCTGCTAGGATGCCTTCAGAGAAGGTTGCGACATCTACCTATGAGAGGGAACTCTACGCTCTCAGGCAAGCGCTAGAACACGGGAAGCACTACTTGCTTGGGAGGCATTTCAAAGTCTATTTTGACCACGAAACATTGCCATGGTTAAAGACGCAGACTGAGATGACACCTAAGCTTACTAAGTGGGCCATAGAAATAGACCAGTACGATTTTGAGCTCAAGCTAGTTAAGGATAAATATAATGCAGTTGCGAACGCTCTGCGTAGGAGAGCTGACCACTTTGGAGCGATAATTCACTATTTGGATATAGGGAAAGACCTGCAGGAAAGAGTTAAAGTAGCATATGCGCAGGACCCTATCTATAGTGACCTCCTCAAGCGAGTAAAGGAGGCCCTAGAGACCGAGCCAGATTACCGCACTACTGACGGACTGTTATTTGAGAAGACTAACGTAGTTGACCGTCTGTGTATTCCCAATAGTGAGGAGATCCGTAGTCTGATCTTAGGAGAATGTCATGACACAGAGGGTCATTTTGGTTGGCAAAAGACTCTAGCCAATCTAATGCACGCGTACACCTGGCCAGGAATAAAGAATGACTGCATAGAGTATGTCCGCAGTTGTAAAGTTTGCCAGCGGAATAAGACTACTACGCGTGCTCCGCTAGGTCTTCTCAGACCCTTGCCTATTCCTGACCAGCCCGGGGATTCAGTGTCCATCGACTTCATGGACGCGGGCGTTAAGAGTAGGCATGACAAGAGCCAAGTCATGGTGATAGTCGGTAGATTTAGCAAGTATGTTGTTTTTATACCTTTGCCTTCAGAGGCACGAACCGAGTTAGTGATCCGTAAGTTTTTTCATCATTGGGTCTGTGAACACGGGGTCCCATTATCCATAGTTAGTGATAGAGACACCCGGTTCACGAGTCAGAACTGGCAGGAGTTGATGAGAGTCTATGACTCTAAGTTGTTAATGTCGTCTGGCCGTCATCCCGAGACCAACGGTCAGACTGAACAGATGAGTAAGATCCTGCAGCAAGTTCTGAGAATGTACATTAGACCAGATCAAGTTGACTAGGACGAGATGCTCCCAAAGGCAGCCTGTGCCAATAACAATAGTGTGCATCTGTCTACATGCCGCACTCCCAATGAACTGCATAAGTCCTTTAGGCCGCGCAGACCGTTTGAAGGACTTAACCGGGATCAGATTCATAGGCTACTGCCTGGTACTAGGGAGTTTACTATACAGCAAGAGAAAGAACTAGCTACTGTTGTAGAAAACCTTAGGAAGGCCCAACATAGGATGATAGAGCAAGCCAACCAACACCGTCGCCCATCACAGTTCCAAGTAGGTGACTTAGTCTGGGTCAAAGCTAAAGAGTTTGCTCCTGAGGAGAACATCTCGCAAAAGTTACTACCCGCGTACAGAGGACCGTGGCGAGTTCTAGAAGTCAAGGGCAGAGAAGATGGTCCGTCCTACTCGATAGAGATTCCACTACACCTCTACACCTACCCCGTTTTCCATGCATCAAAGTTGTTGTCATGCACAGTAAGTGACCAGTTTCCATCTAGACGTTCCATGATCCCTCGAGACATGGATGGGAGGTACGAAATTGACGGCATTGTAGGTGAAGACGTGTTTAGAACCAGAGGTCGAGGTCGTCCTCAAAAACAGAATAAAGTCAGATTTGCATATCAGGAACCAGAAGACGACCGGTGGTTCACCAAAACTTAACTTCTAGAAACAGCTCCCGACATAGTTAGGGCCTACGAAAAAGACAGAAAGGGTAAATGTCCTGCCTTGGACTTAAATATTCTCGGAGGACCTCGAATTTAGGCCGGCGGGAGTGAAACATTATTCACCAGTTCGCAGTAGCTGATGCAGATCCCATGGCTCGATCCCTAGTCCCCACCTTACCTGTGTACAGTACCTGTGTCAACCCGTAGAGTTGAACCTACGACCTGTAGGACTGCAAGTGGTAGGTAGGTCACCGTAGGTTACAGGGTATAGGGGATTCAAACTGTAGAGTCTGACCTGTCGGGTAGAAGTCTAAAGAGTCCAGAGGGCTTAGCTGTAGACTTTCCGAAGGGTCAAAGTCGTAGCTGCTACTTACCTGAAAGGGCCAAAGTCGTAGCTGCTACAAGACTGAAAGGCCAAGTAGATGCTTCTAGAAGTGGCCTTTCGGAGCCAGCCCACTGTAGGTCAAGGCAAGTGGGCAAGTGGTGCAAATCCACTGTGCAGAGTCAGCAGTCCCAGTCCAGTCAGTCTGGTCCAGTCAAGCAAGTACCGCCTGGGACTGTGTGCACCATGGGCCATGGAAACAGGGCAGGCCGACGAGCCACAAAAGTATAAATCAAGGGGCCGCACACAGCCATTCATTCATTCCTGCGGAAGCCATGCGGAAGCGCTATCTCAGCGGCTTGTGAGAGGAGGTCTGCAGCAGCCCGAAGTCGAAGTGGGCGAGAGTGACGAAGTGCAGCCATAGCGATAGGGTAGAGGCAGCCATCGCTGCCATAGCTGTAGTGTAGAGTGAGGTGTGTATGTTGTGTGAGTGTTCAGCGTGTCGCGTGTGTGATATCCAGGGTGATCCTGTGTGTGAACAGTGAGTTGTTGGGCGTTGAGCCGCCATAGCCAGTGGAAGTGAACTCTTATCTGGATACCATATCTCTGAGTTCTGTGTGGGCGCATGTCGCCAGTTTGCTGCGATGCTGTTTACATGCATGAAAGGTGTGAATGAGACGAGTCTGATTGCACTTGTAAGTAATTGCAGTGTGAAAATGACTTTTTTGCGTCTGGCAGGGTCTGTGATTACCGAGCTTGCACGGTTGATTGTCATGGGATCTCCTCTGATGGTGAGACTGATTGCCTGAGTACTCTCTCTGAGAGAGAGAGAGAGAGAGAGAGAGAGAGAGAGAGAGAGAGAGAGAGAGAGAGAGAGAGAGAGAGAGAGAGAGAGAGAGGAAGATGGGGGCATCGCCGAGAGAGAGAGAGAGAGAGAGAGAGAGA